AGGAAAAAAGGATAAACAAGAAACCACAGTTCAGACATAGTAGACTTAGGAGCTAAGGAGTTTGCTGACAGAAGCAGGATGCCTTGACCCTACCCCGGGGTGTAGTCTACCATAAACTTGTGGTACATGCCTGAATTAAATATTGCATACCTTTAAATTTCCACAACAATGTCACAGAACCCAAAATAATATTTTAAAAAATTACTTCAAGTCTGCATATCTACAGTCTCCTTTTTGTTGCTGTTACTGTTGTTGTCATCATCATTGTCCCTTGAGGAAGTCTGACAACAAGGAGTTGCTTGAGTATTCTAGAAATTGAGCTTGACATGGTGGTACACAACTGTAATCCCAGCACTTGGGAGACTGAGGCAGGAGGATCTCCATGAGTTCAAGATCATCCTAAAACTACACAGCGAGATCCTGTCTCAAAAAAAAAAAAAAAAAAATTCCAGAAGTAGGCAGGAATGAAGAATGAATGAATGAGAGATAGGTAGAAGAAATAGAGGACACCCTATTCTTAGTCACCTGTGTTCGGTTCTATCCAATGAAAATAACTTGATTTAAAAATATGTGATAGCTACAGATTATACTCACATAACCTATATAGAAGTGATAAACATAAAAACATTTTCTTGTATTTTGAATTGGCTTCACTTTATATTATGTTTTATCACTTTAGTATTCCCTGTGTAAAGAGTCATGACTTCTTTGTTAAATCTTTTTTATTTTACAGTATTTTCTAAAAAGCCTTTATAGCACTTAATGCTTTTTCCTTAATATACAACATATGCATTCTTTCTATTTATATCTACATGATAGATTTCACTTTCCCTTTGTTTTCAAGTAATATTTTGTTCTAGGTGTTTCTTTTATGACAGTTTGCCTTTATTGAGAATTTTTTCTTTTATTGTGATTATGTCTGACATCTTATTCTGTACTTTCTTTTCCTTTTCATTTTTCTCCTCCTGTTCCTCCTTTTCTCCTTCTTCACCTCTTTTTTTTCTTTCTCCTTCTCGTAAATTTTTTTTCATTTTTTTTCATTTTTCTCTCCATTCAGAGAACAGTTAAATATACATATTTAGATCTACCAAAATGTTAATGGCGTATCTGTGGACATATCTGTAGACCTTTTCTATTGCTTTCTTTTCCAGACTCCATCCTCAGGTGTATTGAAATCAGGTGAGATGTTACAAACTGAATGTTTTGATTAATAGAATTTCTCTTAACTATTAAATAACTGTTAAACTGGCATTAATACACACAACTACCTTAATTTGTAGTGAAGTGTTTGCTCCTTGACTGCTGCTTTTCTTCATTTTGACTTATTTTCCAGTTGGTTGGGGATACATTCTAGAGTTTTGCTTTTTTTTTTATTTTGTTTTTCCCAGAAGGAATACTACCTAGGCAAGTGCTATAAATAATTTCTGAGTGGTCGCTTGTCTAAAATCATCTTTAGTAGCTTCTGTTGCAGGAATGTGTTATATTCTTGGAATCCTTTTTTCTTTGTAAGTAATTTGTCTCTTTTTCCCCTTCCTGAAGTTTTTTGGGGGGTTGTTTGTTTTATTTTTAATGAACTTTTACTTTTTGCTGCAGTAGGTCCCCTGTGTGTCCATGTTGTGCACTGGTACATCTGTGCATATGTATGTATGTATGTACAATAGTCTTTCTTAGTACTCAGTGAATTTTTCTAGTGGCATTCAATACTTTCCTTAATTTTTTTTCTTGATAATAGTTTCTGTTCATCAGGTGTACTCTTAATTAGGTCTCCTAGTTGTACCATGGAACTTTTTCCTCATTCCCAAACATCTCAAGAAAACATATATATCTGTTAAACAGCTAGTGATTTTCAGTAGTGACAGAGATGTGTACCTTATGGGTAGAAGTTTTCATCTATTCCTTTTTTGTCTAATACTCTGAACTCTGCTCTCTTGAGAAGGAAAATTGTCTGCTTGATTAGGTGGCTTTGTCTGAGCCAGGAGTCCAGTAGTCCCTCAGTATCTGCAGGGGATTAATTGGAGGACTTCCCCTGGTATACTCTAAGTCACCTCTAGATTGTTTGTAATACATAATACAAAGTACATGCTATGTAAGAATGTATGCTATATTAAGAAATAAGAAGAAAAAAGACAAAAAAAAGGGGGGGGCCTGGGGATTTAGCTCAGCGGCATAAGCGCCTGCCTTGCAAGCAGGTAGTCGTGAGTTCGATCCCTGGTACTGATAAAAAGGAAAAAGACAAAAAAAAAAAAAAGAAATAAGGATAGGAGTAAAGTATATGTGTTCTGTAAAAACATAATTTTTGTTTTTTTAGATAGTTTCAGTCTATTGGTTGAATCTGCAGAGGCAGAACTGTAGATCATGAAGGGCCAACTGTATATTAAAGTCGTAAGAGATAATCTAGCACCCTTTGTCAATTGTTTGATACAAAATTGTTGTGATTAGGGTGTGGTGACACACACCTATACTTCCAGCTCTCAGGAGATTGAGGCAGGAAGATTGCTATGAGGTTAAGGCCAACCTGAACTGAATAGCAGGACTGCCTCAAAAAAGAATAATTTGTCCTAAGTGCTGGCAGGTAGAACACAACTGACATTACATCTTGAAGTACCTCTCTAGAGGAAAGAAAAAAAATACAGATTAAAAAAAAATACCTTATAGCTCCATTATCCTGTATATTGGATATCATAACATGTCTTTTTTTTTCATAATTGTATGCCCTTTTTCTGTTAGTGCAGGGAGAATTTAAGTTGCTATTCAGTATGGATCAAATTGGATCTACTGATTGGATTTAGTATGGACTTACTAATTTGTTTTGATTTTTTGTTTTTTAAGACAGAGACTTGCTGTGTAGTTCAGGCTGGTCTTGAACTCACTATGGAGCCCAGGCTGGCCTCAGAATCACAGCAATTCTTCTGTCTCAGCCTCCCAAGTGCTGGGATGACAGGCATGTGCCGCCATACCTGGCTGGATTTGCTAATTGTGTTTGCTATAGTGCATAGTTTTCTAGTCACTGTATTTCTGGAGTGTTTTCTTTGGCAGTTGTGTCTCTTCATTTCCAACAATGTCTTCATAGTGTTCCTTTTTTTTCTTTTTGTATATTTTTTGGCTTATTTTCTTATTTAGATTCCATTGAAATATTTTTGATTTTCTTCCTGTTTCAGACATTTCTTTCTGCCTAAGCCTACAGACTGATCCTCTCTCCTTTTGAGTTGCAGATTATTTTTATATTCAGTTATTATCATTTTATTTGCTTATACATTTGAGGAGATGTTTTTATTTGGACTGTAGCTGAGATGAATTCTATAGGAAATTATGTAAGTGATTTTTCTTCCAGGCCATTCTTCTAATAGCCCTAAACCCACTGATTCATAGCCCACACCTAGTCTACCTCTTGGTACGGAACTGTGTGACACCATGGCTATTCCTGTCTTCTCCAGTAATGCATAGCATCAGAGACTTGAGAGTCCAATTTTTCTCCAATGTGCAGCTTTTAGGGGCCATTTGTGAGGGTGGTATGTGTTTGTTCACTAAAGCTTTGGAAGGAGAGAAATCTTGAACATACCTCTGAGTTAAATAGTTCATAGATCCACTCACCTTTATACACATTGCTTTCTACTAAAGCCTTTTAAAGGGCTACAACCCTTCTGTGTAATCCAAGAATGCTTTTTAGGCAGCTTGGACCACTTCTAGTTTAACCTTGCCTCCTGCAATCCAGATGTTTGTCTTCACCAGAAATGCTATGTAGTTTTGTTTTGCTTTGTTTTGTTTTGAGACAGGGTATCCATGTATAATTCAGGCTTGTCTTGAACTGACTATGTAGCCTAAGCTGGCCTGGAGCTCACAGAAGTACTCCTACCTCAGCCTCCTGTATTTTGGAATTATAAGCATATAAACCATTATGCCCAGCAAAATGCTGTCTCCTTAATCTCCATTTCCATCAATGAAAATTCCACACATCATTTACTTTGCAGTTTAAGGCCTTTTCCTCTTTTTTTTCTGAAACCTGGGATTCCCTCTACCTTTTATGATTTGTCTCTTTATCGTGTGATCTGCCTTATATTCGAGCTATTTATATCTTAATCGTCACCTTCCCATTTGTATGATGAGTTCTTTGAGTCTAGAAACCATGTCTTTTACTTTTACTGAGAGGTACTAAAATGAAGGAATTGGAGAAATTCAACACTTACTTAACTCCATGAGACCTTAGGAAATAAGTTAGGCTTTCCCCTCTGGAAAATGGACACAGTAACTTTTCCTCATGAAGTTGTTTTGAAGATTAAATGAGATAATATCACACAGTGAACATTGACATGTGTTACTTCCTTTTTCTATACCCCTTGTGTACCCCTAACCCACATTGCACTTCATCTATGCAGGCCGTTAGTTAATGATTCAGTGAATGCTTCGCATGAATAAATGCAGATCCAAAGTGCTTTGCACAAAACTCAGTTTTGCATTAAATCAGTGCAGAGTCCAGAAAAGAATCTGGGGATCCTGAGTATCCCCGCCTTGTTCCTACCTGCATATACTAAATAAGTGAAACTTCAAATTACAGTTCACTCTCTAGAAGATTTTGTTTTTGTTTGGTTGGTTAGATTTTCAAATAAGCAATTGCTTTCTTGTCTGCTTTAAAGTTTTAGAAAGAAATAGCCACAGATGGAATCTCAAAAAAGAAACACTATAGTGTTACAATAGAAAAGTTTGATCAAAGTAGAATTTTAGATGATTATTGATCATTAACTCCTCTCCAGACAGACTCCACAAATCCATCTATCAGTGAATGTGTTAATTCTGTGTATAGCATATCGTCTTCCTCAATCAGATTATTCTCTAATGAGGTAGGAAAATCTCTTCCTTGATTTTATGATTTCAGCCAAGCAGAAGGATCTAATTATATTTCTTTAGTGGAAGAAGATGCATAATTTCTTCTTGCATTGAGTATTAAATTTTCTCATTTCCTATATACCTTACAGGAAATTCTCCCCTTTTTTAATCCTCTCTAGGGCCAAACTACCCGAAGCCTGGGAAACTTGCTGGACATGATGTACCAGCAGCCAGCACGATGGTCCTACACATTCCAGACATGTTCCTTTATGAGCCGCCTGAAGGTACAGCTGGAGCTCTTCCCTGAGAAGCTTTTACAGGCCAAGCAGCCCGTACAGATCTTTGAGAGGTCTGTGTACAGTGACAGGTAGGATGCCAGGCCCGCTGCAGTCACATGCCCCTTGTCCAGGTCTGTGTTTTCTCTTCCTTCACAGCCCATGTGTTATTTTAGTTATTGAAGATTGTGCTTTGAAAACTTTTCTTCTTTGTAAAGGCAGCTTTATACAGATTTGTCCAGAGTTGTAGTTCTGCTGAGCTATCATATTTGTATATGTCAAAAAGAGATTATGTTTTTCATAAACTAAAGGCATTGAATTTCCCACAGAGCCACTAATTGCCTTATGTTTCCTTATTTTACTGCACAGAGGCCTACTATAACCATTACATGCTAAAAGGCACAGAATAGATCAGGTAGTAGTAGTGCATGTTCTCAGAAACCAGATGGTTGGTTATTACCTTTAAGAAAAAAGTGGATGGATTTAAAATTTGTATTCCTAAAATGATCACAAAATATCTATTTGTCTTTTTTTATTCATCGAGAAAGAATGTCTAGGCAAAAATAGCATATCATGAAATTAGTTTCTGTCTCAGTTTAGCCTTTTGTTTTGTCTTGTTTTGTTTTTAACTCTTTGTGACAGGGATCGCTGTTCTCTAGAGTGTAGAGTTAAAAACAAGTACATGTTTCACTTCAAGGGAAGGGCTCATCCTGACCACGTTGGAAGAGTGAAATGTGAGGTCACATTTAGTGAGACCAGCCGCTAGCATGGGAGCCAAGCCCATCTGTCCTAGAAGAAGTAGTCTAGCCATGCTGAATTCCTGGCTCTGCCTCAGAGCCCAGAGAGTGACTTGGGTTAGGACTCCTGGAGATGGAGGCAGGTGGTTGGTCAGGACACTTGCCAGGTTTTTTGTATTTGAAGGTTTGTAAATGACTTTTGTCAGTGAAATGGTCCTTTTGAGCAAAATTCTATCTTACTTAAGCCCTGTTGATCTATCAGAATGAAAAGGACTGCATTTTCATTGTCCATTCACTGCTGAAGACATTCAGTCACTTACCCATTTAATTCTAAATTAGATAAACTAGTTCTGCTTCTTGGGGCTCTCATAAAGCCTTCTGGAAAAAAGAAATAAGAGGGTTCACTGTGCTTGTTCTGACTTAGCCTCAGAATCATGTTAAGATGTGAAACAAAACTCTGGGGAGTACACATTCCTTCTTTCTAGGCCCTGGGAACCTACACTTTATGAAAGCTGAATGTGTGCATCATGATGGATGTGCTCTTGAGTTGTAGTTCTTTCTCCACTTTTAGCTATGCTGCTGCCTGTTTGCTTCTCTTTGCGAAGCCTTGTCTCTTGGACTAGGAAGCTGAATTACATATAATCACCTGGGTTGCTTGGAAACATACAAAGTTGATCTTTTGAATTCTAAACCCTTAGTGAGGTAGCATGCAAGATTATTCTGAGAGGAAAACAGAAATAGAAATATTTTGTTAATTAGAAATGCTTTGTTAAGAAGCTACCTAAATCTTAATGTTTACTTATAAAGAAAGAGGTAAGAATTGATGACACTATGGGGAGCTATAGCATTTCAGATGCTTTCATCAGAGAGGGCATTTTTGAGATTAAAAAGGATAATCACAAATTCTAATCCTGGAGGCCAATTTAGACCTTTTTCATTATTTTAAACATTCATTCTAGGGGTTGGGGTTGTGTCTCAGTAGTGCAGTGTGAGATGGTCAGGGTAGGGGGAACATCTTTTTATTTGTTTACTCAACACAGATTTATTGGGTACTAGGCTTGATCCTGGGGTTGCAACAGAGAAGGCAGACCTATTCCTGGTCATAAATATCATAGCTCAGCAGGGACTGGACTCATGCTTATGTGGTGTGGTCTGTGTCCCAAAAGGGGAGCATGGAGCATTATTTGGGAGAGTGGAGTACAAGGATGAAGAAATCTAAGACTTTTTGGATTGCGTTAAAGGGAAGTCGAACATGTGGTTTTAGAACAGAAGCCTCAGCTGTTAGGTACTTAAGCTTTGTTCTCCACAGGACCTGAATATGGACTGCAGAAGCTTCCTTCCCCTAGTGCTTAGCACCTCCCCCTCCTGTCCCCTCATCACCCATCAGGATTAGCTTGGGGGGCGTAGGTGAAGTGCTCATTCTGGGGAGCAGCAAGGCCCTTTTTATAGGACTTATTAATTTTTCTATATAAGATGGAAATTTCATCTATTTTTCTTTGAAGAAGCTGAACATTTTTCAGAACTTGAGTTCATTGTCTTCAACTAGACTATAGCTAGATGATACCAAACTGGATGAGTTTACTTTTAGTATTTCCAAATTAGCCTTTTCATAGCCTAGCAAAAAGCATTTTAATTATAACTAAAAGATACCTTGGGTGCTGTGCAAGTTGCTCTTTGTCTTAGTTACTTTCTCATCGCTGGGACAAAGTACCTAACACCCACATTTTAAAACAAGAAAATTTTATTTTAACTCAGTTTGTGGAAGATTCAGTTCATAGCCAGCCAGTTCAAGGCAGGGCAGCATGGCAGGCAGGGAGCAGCAGCCATCAAGACAGGAGGGAATATATACGTATTATATATATGTATATGTATATATGTATATCTTCCATGGTCACACCCACAGTGACCCATCTCTTCCCACCAGGCTTCACCTCCCAACTATAAACCTATCAGTGTGAACACACACTTCTCAGGTAAATAAATACAAATAGCAAATAAATACATGAGAAAATGTTCATTTAAGAGATGCAAATTAAAATAACACTGAGATTTAATCTCACCCCAGAAAGAATGGCTATCATCATAAAATCAATCAATAAGAAATGCTGGAGGGGCTGTGGGGAAAAAGGAACCCTTCTCCACTGTTGGTTGAGTGTATGCCACTTTGGAAATTGGTGTGGAGATTCCTCAAAACACTAGGATTAAAGGTCCCATTTGACCCATACCTTCTGGGTATCTTCCCAGAAGAATGAAAACATCATACCACAGTGATATATGTGTACCCATGTTTATAGCAGCATAATTTGTAATAGCTAAATCTTGGAAACAACCCGAATGCCCATAAACTGAGGCACAGATTTAAAAGATGTGGTATTACTCAGCTATAAAGAAAGATAAACTTGAGATATTTATGGGGAAATGGATGCAACTTGAGACCATACTCATAAGTGAAATCACACGTGCATACGTAAATATCATGTTGTTTCCTCTATTGTAAGAAGCTGAAAAAGTAAGATCCAAAATATATAGTAGATATTTTGCAAAATGAGAAGAAACTGTTCAAAAGGAAAGAGAAACTGGTATGGGGGAAAGGAAAGAAGGGAAAAGAAAAAATAAAAAAAATACATATATTCACAAAATAGTTAAGATAGTTATACTAATAGTTGCTATTAGTTCATTGAAAAGAAATATTTGTGCCTATATTGTTTGATCAATTTTTCATGCCTGTACTTTGTAATATGGACAACTACTTTGAAGATAATAATATACAATGTACTAACCATTGCTACTCTCCTATAATCATATTTTGAAATTTTGTACCATTGTTTTTATTGCTTTTTTTTTCTTTCAAAAAACAAAACAAAAACCAGTGGACTAATCTAGTATCACATACCCATGAGCCCATGATCACACACCCATATATTAGCATATGAGGCTTTGGGAGGACATGTAGATATAAACCAGAACATTCTTCAAAGGACTTTATGAGTAAAATACACAGTTAAGGCAGTGAACTGAGAGTGAGTTCAGGTCACTTCCTAAGGTAACATAGCTAGTGAATGTTAGAGTCAGGATTAGATCCTGCAGAGTTACACTGAGACCTGCTCTCAAGGATGGCACTCACAGCCTTAACTCTGTACTTCTCTGATCGATTCCTACACAAGGATTTTGAATTTCATTTTCCCACAAGTGGCCAGTTGCTGGGTATTGCCTTACAAACTGGAGGTCACTCTTAAAGAGAAATTGTCATTTTGTATCAAGGTACCTGAAGCCATGGTTTCTGTTTAGCTTTGATTTCTTACTTATCAGATCCTCCTTTTTTTGTGAAAGTAAGCAAGAGAAAAGGCAGGTTTGATTTTTACCTTTTGCTTTCTTTTGTCTGACTCAGAAGCTCAGCAGCAGAAGCAAGCTAGTAAGAGTCCTGGAGGACAGTCTGCTTTCTTGGTAACACTGAGGTCAGTGGAAAACGCATTTCCTCCTCTATAAGTGACACCACATAAAGACAGTGCTTTTCCACTTCTTAGCTAGAGAGAAGGAAGCTTGGAGATTTGAAAGAATTTGGTACTTAAATGAAATGTTGTAGGTGGTTTTGTGGAGGAGCCTTGCCAGAATAATAAGGAAATCTCAGAAGTTCAAGTTTATGTGCCCCATCTGCTATATCCTCTGACTGGTTTCTAGCAGGGAAATTTGTCATGGGTCAAGGTGGTCCTCGTCCAGTATCTGTCTGTCTGTCTGTCTTTTTATTTTTTTTCTTCCCCAGTGAATTGCTCCATCTCAAAAGCTGTGGTTTCAGCCTTTAATTCTAGGTGCCATTACCCATCAAACTGTTGAAGAGGGAGGGAGCTGAGGGTTAAGAATTCAGATTGCTTAAGGATTGATGAGGAGCTAGAAAGGTTAAGTGGTCTGAACAAACATGGAACAAGTTGGTTATTGATTTTTCTGTTTCTCTCTCTCTCTCTCTTGTGCTTTTCATTCCATTTCCCATTCTTCCTCCACTCTCCCCGCTGCCACCCCATCCCACTTACATTTCTAACCAGGTACATCTTTGCAAAGAACCTTTTTGAAAATGGTTCCCTCAGTGATGTTGAATGGCATATCTATCAGGACTGGCATTCTTTTCTCCTGTGGGAGTTTGCCAGCCGGCTCTCCTTACATGGCTTCATCTATCTACAGGCTGCTCCCCAGGTAACTTTGAACGTAAGGGGTTAGACTTAAGGACAGTAGGAAATCCTTTTAAGAGACATTCTGCAAGCCCTTAATTTTCTGGTCGGAGAAGTTAGAGAGCAGACATTACCAGACTGCAGAAAGCAATGGGCAGATACCTCCATTCTAGCACTGAGCACCATATTTCCTACATGCTGCAGTATAGTCGAGCTGTTGATTGTGCATAGAAGGATCTGCCTTGTGGAGCAATAAACAAGCCAAAGCAGATTGGGCATCGTCTCCATCACTCCGGATGTATATCAGAGACTGCTCCCAGGAAGGCTAATGGCCTGGACCAAGGAGGAGAAAGAGTGCTGTGGAGCTGAGCAGAACGACAGCTTCGGTTGGAATTTGAAGAGATGTCAGGTTTCCAGTGGGAATCATGGGATGTCTGCGCTGAAAGAAGTAAGAGATTGCTGGAGTAGGAGAAGGGACAGTATTCACACACAGTGCAGTGCTGCTCTGCCCTAAAGAAAGTAAAATGAATCATTTTAGGAAAATAGATGCCCCTCTAGACCATAATGTTATATGAAACAAATCAGACACAAGCTTAACTATTGCATGGTTTCTTTTATATGAGAAACATGTATTATAAATAAAGAACAAAGTAAAAGACAGATAATAGGAAGTAGGAAGCTAGATCTTTCTCCAATGGGAAGGGGATCAAGAGATGGAAGAGGGCAAGTGGGGAAGGAAAGGGATTTAAAAAAGGAATTAAAATGTGTTATATACATGTATCAACTCTACTTCAAGAATATAAACATTCCATACTGCAGATGGGTACTAATACACATTTAATAAAAAATTTTAAAAAATAAATGCAGAGTCCCACCCCAAGAGAGAGAAAGAGAAGGAGGAGACAGTGCTGACCTAATCTGTTCCAAGAGAGAGGGAATTAGCCCCAGCTTGGTACCAGGAAACCATGCTGGGAAGAGCCAGGGAAAAGATGAGCTGACTCGCTGCTGAGAGCAAAACATGACTGCATAGCCAACTCACAGGCTCTTGTTTCTGGGACTGGGCAGGGACCCACAAGGCAAGCAAGCAAGTGTTCTTTGTGTTTATTGGTGCACATCACATGACTGATGAGAAAGGGGCAGCGGTGGTGATAAGGAGGATGAGGGTTGTCATTGGGGGGTTGGTGTGTCATCTTGGAGAGACCAACTGAAGTATTTCAGGTGGTATAAAAAGAAGGGAGGGTGAGGATCTTAACTGCAGAAATGAAAATCAGTTGATTCACTTTGGGATTAAAGACTTTTGTGCTATTTTGATGGCATTAGACCCAAGAATGCCCATATCCTTCCCTGAAGTGCCATGGACCTCTTCTTTGAGATTCTTTTCTTCCTAAAGGAAGAAAAGAAGTAAAAATATCTCTCCATAAAATTTATCAGTGCCTGATATTCCAGCACGGAGCCCAGGCAAATAGTAAGTTTAGAGTATGTGAGAAGGGCCTTAGTAGGGCCTTCGGCTCATTTCTACCAGTTGTCCCCTCAATTCTGAAGAGCCAGCCTGCAATTTCAAAATTATTAAAAGATATGGTGGCACATGTCTATAATCCCAGCACTCAGGAAGCTGAGGCAGGAGGAATGCCTCAAATTCAAGACCAGTCTAGGCTACATGGTGAGTTCAAGGCCATCGTGAACTACATAGTGACACTGTGTCTCAAAAAAAAGAAAAAAAGTTAGATGTGTCAGTGTTGCACCCCTTTGGAATCAAGGAAAGCACAGCTGGTCAGTGTGACTCAAGAAAACCTGCATAGGACTGTTAATCATGGAGACAGATGTAGGAGGTGCCTGGGAACAAATGGCATCTGGGACTGGGTCTTGGGATGCCTAGTAACCAGACCCACCAGCTGTCGTAGTCCGGTTGCTGTCTCTGATGCCAAGCAGTTAAGAGCAGTTCTTCCTCCTGGGTCAAGCAGGTCAGAAAAGCAGCTGTAGAGTCCTTCCCCCGCCGTTGCACCTCCACTAGCCTTGCTGTTCCCTTTCAGGCATGTCTTCCCTATGCGGACCAAGGTGAAATGGGGCCAGGCTCCTGCACTGTGTGCACAGAACGTTTTTAAAGAATCTGTCATAGCTATGCCAATGAAGTGAGAATTATGCCAAATGCTCAAAATAGGAGTTTACCTAATTGGAGGTGGAGGGTGTTTGCTCTGTTAAAGTAATCGTAAAACAAATACGCACATTTCTTAATAGATTGATGTAAAATTGCTCTATCTTTATGTGTACTTGAAAACAAGGCCATATTGTAAAGGGCACTTATTTTAACTAATTCAGATAATGTTTTTCTCTTTGAGAGGAAAACTAAGTAGTTTGGTTATTTTTGGACATCCTACTACTTGCTTGTAAACCTCCAACGGCGCAGTTTGACAGTTTTTAGTGCTCATACCTTTGACCTGTTAACCATAATACTTGCAGTTCACTCCGTTGAGGGGCCAGGTATGATGATGCATGCCTGTAATCCCAGGAGGATGAGGCAAAAAAATTACTGTGACTTTCAGGCCGGTTTTGAGCTGCCTAGTGAGGCCCTGTCGCAAACAAAACAAAACAAAAGTATTCCATTGATTCACTCATGTACAAAATAACCTGTGTATGAGGTAATATTGTTTATAATAGCAAATTAGTAGAAATGCCCAAGAGTTTATTAGTAGGAGTTGTTGAATATATTATGCTCTGACCACGAATTAAAAAGCTCTGAAACTTTCTCTGAATGAGAAAGTTCTTTTTGTACTGATACGTAACAGTGTCTAAGATGTATTCTTACTTTTTTTGTGATACCAGGACTCAAACTCAGGGCCTTGCACTTGCGAGGCATGCACTGCACCACACTGAGCCATGTCCCCATTCCCTGAGACATACTCTTAAGTGAACAAAAACAAGGACAGAGTGTATGGTATCTCCCTCTCTCCCCTCCCTGTCCCTCCTTTCCTCCTTTCCTCTCCCCACCCTTCACCTCTGCTCTCTCCCTGTCCCTCCAGGGTTCTTACTATGCTTCACTTCAAGCTGGCCTTTCCTCACCCTGTAGGCTAGCTGACCTTGAATTTACTGTTACCCTCTTGCCTCTGTCTCCCAGGTGCTTGGTGAAACACTTTCATACACTTTTTTAAAAAGGTGATAGAAGGAATGCGTATGTATAAAAAGTTTTTAAGTTGTTGTGTGAGAAGAAAACTGGGTAGTTGGACACAGTGAAAAACTGATTAGAGGGGCTGGGGATTTAGCTCAGCGGCATAAGCACCTGCCTTGCAAGCAGGCAGTTGTGAGTTCGATCCCCGGTACCGATTAAAAAAAAAAAGAAAAACTGATTAGAGAAGGAGAGGAATAAGAGGAAAGTCTCAAAGCAATCAGAAGTGAGGGTGAGGATGCAGGAATAGAAAGATGGAAAGAAAAAGGCAAGTTCAGAGAGAAGGAAAGCAGAAATAGAAAAAATGAATATAAGGATCGATGGACACGGAAAGACTAGGAATCAGAAATGAAAATGTTAGGTGAGCACGTCACTGAGCCTTCCTAGTGTCCTATGCAAACCTTCTTCAGTCTTCCAGTTCATCTCTTTCCCGGGGCTGTGAGCACTTGCCCTCTCAGAGCGGTGCTCAGTAAGCCAGGCCCTAAAGGAAAGGGCAGCTCTGCAGAAGTAGGAATTAGAGTACCCGCTGCGCTCGCGTGAGACCCTGTCACCCACTCCTTTATCTGATTGCTGCACTTAGGACCCAGGCACCTACAGTTCAGCACTTGATTTACATATGTTTTAATTATCATCTAAATTATGAAATTCAAACTATGGGGACTATATCTGAGTTGGGGTAATTATAAATTGATTAGAAGAAACGCAGAGACAAGAAAAATTGAAGTATTAACCCACCAGACTTATCTGGACTTAACTGCATTCCTCAGTTTGGAAAGCTGCACATAAAGTCCTAAATGAAATTTGCTTATGTGATTTTACAGGTAAGAGGAAAACAGTAACGTTCTAATGTTTTTGGAAGTATTGTGTACTATACTAGAGAATAAAATTTACATTTTTATAGTGTTTGAAAGAGGGAAGTCCTAAGTCATTAGGTTAAGCCATCTGCATTTCCAAGACAGGCAACTAATGAAGTGTTTTGCCCCGCAGAGAGAGGATCAAGGGCAATTCAGGAAAAAAAACATTTGGAGAAAAAGTCCTGAGGTGTGAAGGAGCTTGGCCTGTGCACAGGAAGGAGGTCAAATCTGGCTGAAGCCGTGAGGCAGGGGAGGAGCTGAGGCCACTGAGGAGACAGGAGGGACAGCCTTGTGTGACCGGTGAACAGGGGACACCACCACCTCTGGGCCAGCGTGCTTCAGACTTTCTCCCACACAGGAGAAGAGAATTGTGCACATACTGCAGAGTAGAGGGACGGGAGAAATAGTGTCAGGGCTCACTTTTTCTCCCTCGACTCTTTGTTTTATGGTGGGCCTGTGCAGATTTCACATTCCATTCCAGAGTAAGGATCACATATCATATGAAAGATGTTTCAAATTACTTGCCATTTTATAAATATAATGCCTCTTATATTTCCTTGAACTTGTGGTTCTATCTGTAAGCAGTAGTTGTATCTGTATGTTAAGCAGAATAGGTAATGCCATTATATTGCAGCACTATGGAAGGCGGACTGAAGGGACACACTGGAAGGAGACAACAGCTTTTGCCAGGTGTTTTCTTGCTGTACCTCAGCAGAACTGACAGGACCTGCGGGGTGGGTTGAGGTGGGAAACAAAAATGTACCAAGATCACACCACTAGTGCAGTCGACTGGTTGGCTCCTGGGCTTTTCTGCCCTCTTTCCATTTAGAATGCCCTTGCCAGATGTGGGTGGTGAGCATCTGATTAGGGCAGACGTGAAAAAACTGACCAGAGCGAGAAGAAAGAGTTGTAGGGCTGCTGTGGTTGGGAAGAGAGGAAAGAAGGCCCCTTCCAGGGTCCTAGCTTGGCTGACTGGGTGGACGGTGTCTGCCCCTGGCCAGCTAAGGATGTTCCAGAGGAGCAGGTTTAAGGTGGAAGTAGAGAGAATGATGTAGACATTCTGATTGAATAACAGAACAAAGCAGCAGAAGCAAGGTGATGGCTGTGGTAACCCAGGTAGACAGACAGATGTATGAGTAACTAGCCCCCCCCTCCCCCTCCGTCTACATTGTGACAGTCAGAACAGCATGTGAACTCAGCAAAGTCTCAGAATTGATTATCTTTTAGGTTTGTTTGAAGAGATTGTACCAGAGAGCCAGGAAGGAAGAGGAAAGAATTGAGCTGGCCTATCTGGAGCAACTTCATAATCAGCACGAAGCCTGGCTTATTCACAAGACAACCAAGTAAGCGGAAAAAAGAGCAGTATTAGACACACCTGCTTTTCAGTTGTTCAGAATGAGAAGTTCAATATGCAGCCCTGGAAGGAAATGGTTGGTTGGAAATGTTCAAAATTTTCCAACTCAGTAACTTCATACTAAATATTAGATTTTATTTCTCTAGCCTTTTTGGTAAAATTTCCTTAGATTGAACATCATGGTTGATGATTGCAATAGCTGGCTCAGAACGAAGGGTAAAAAAACTTTTGGAAAACATCAGCTTTACTAAGTTGACGTTCCTAGCTTCTTCCTGTCCTCTCTTCAGGTTTGACATGTTGTCCTTTAAAAATGTGTGGAGCGCTGACCTTCAATTATTAGTCTCAACTGAAGAAAAATCTCAACCTTCCTCTTTCAAGCCAACTTTATTGAATTTTTTAAAAAATGCTGCTTATATGTAATTTCATTGAGAAACTACGTGAATTGAGATTATTTCTCTGAATTACTAAAATTTGGTGAGTGTGTGAAGCATGGCTCAAATTTTTTTCTCATTACCCAAATGTTTATAATTCTTACAGGCTCCACTTTGAGGCTCTACGGAACATCCCAGTGCTGGTATTGGATGTCAACGAAGACTTCTCTAAAGAAGTAACCAAACAAGAAGAACTCGTCAGAAAGGTAGGAAAAACCTTAGCTCCTGCTTTCTCATCGTTTTCCTGTGTTGTACTTTTATCTCTCTGGTCCTTGCTTCCATGTTCAGTATATTAGGTCTTGTGCTTTGCATCTCAAATTGTATTTTACACTCCAAAACCTGCGGGTTCCTTTTTAAGTTACAAATATAGTCCCTAGTCTCCAAAGTATGTTGAATTAATAATTGTTGAATAATTGACTTGTAACATGTGATTGCCAGCTGACTTCCTCCTCTAAGGTATTCTAAAATTAGGGAAATGAGACTTTCGGATTCTTTTCCCAGCTCTGCTACCTGGTGCTATCTGGCTCTAGGCAGTTCACATTTCTTCTCCGGCCCATTTTCCTTTCCTAACAAAAGCTCTTGGAACGGGATATATGTATCTGTCTGTCTGTCTGACATGGGTGAACCACTGAAAATGTGAAATTTAACTGGGATTTTCTCTTCCCTGCAGGTGAACACCTTTGTAAAGAATCTGTAACCAGTACTACATGTTTTAGCGGTGATCCAGGCTCTCTGCTTTCTGAAGCTAGAAAACGTTGACTATTCCACCCACCTTTCCGTCCCCTTCCTTTTACCCTGAAAGTACCCTGAAAGGCACTCAGGGGTATAGTTCCTGCTATCTTTAGACTTTGCAGTTGTCTTTTTTATATTATATATGTCAAGGACTTTGAAAATAAAGCTGTCTTAAATTTTCCTTATTTTTCTAATCTAGTTGTTGATTTATTTCAGTATGTAGCTATTGGTGCCTGCTCTGAACTCCCCAGTAGAATAGGAATTTTCAGGAGAAAAGTCTTAGCCTTTCTCCTGTGGAGTCCTTACCAGCCCAACTTCCCTTGTGTTCACTTGTCTCCTCTGACCTGCCAGGGCAAGAATTGCTCCCGAGAGCCCTGAGCCGAGCCCTGATATGCATGAAGCAGGGAGCTGAAGCAGCTCAGGAGTGGGCAGACATGCAAGTGTGAGCTCCTAAAACTGGGAAAAGGACCCAGCCTCCAGGAAGTGGTGCAGGGGATAGAGGTAAAGAATTTATCCTTTACTGTGGCGCTAAAGAGCTTGGCCAAAAGAAAGAAAGGGACAAAACATCAAGAGCCTAAAAGTTCAGCATCTGACATTTAAGGTTGGTCATTCTGGCACTCTGGCTTGCTTTACCCATTGGATTTCAGGTGACCTTTATGGAGTGAGTATTTCTGTAAGACAAAAAGAAAATAATTTTTGTGCTGCTTGTCAAGCTTCAAGAGCAATTCATTTTGTTCAGGAGAAAAAGTACGTGGGTCCATGGAGTTGAAGTGCACCATTGCAGGAAGCCCGCAGGCCCACGAGTGGATTTCCACTGCATCCTTGATAGCTCTACAGGTACACAGGAAAAAGAATTTGGGACTTAGCATGCACTAAAAGACAAAAGAAACCTGTTTCTGCCATTCATACTTTGGGAACGTAGTGTGAGACTGCTTCCTAACAAACCAGTAAACTTGGGAAAGTTCAGCAATTTTTCCCCACTTGAAAAAAATGTTTATGACTTGATTGATATAGAATTCATATACTACACTAACTCATTCATTTAAAGTATACAGTCCTATATTCGTATAGTCATAGAGCTTTACAAACTATATCAAACTTTAGAACAATTTACATCACTCCACAAATAAGACCCATACCCTGTCCTCCCCTACTCTCAACCGTACACGACCACAAATCTAATTTTTCTCTCTTCCTAAACTGGACATTTATCTAAACTGGACATTTCATATAAATGAAATTGTATAATAAGTAGTCTTCTGTGATTGGCTTATTTAGCATAATATCTTCAAGGGTCATCTAGATTATAATATGTATCAGTATTTCATTCACTTTTATGACTAATATCTTATGGGCATGCCACATTTTGCAGTCCACTCATTAGTATCTGTTATTTTTATTACATCCTTTCTAATGGATATGGGATGTTATCTCATTGTGGTTTTGATATACATTCTTTTGATGGGGAATGATGTTGAACATATTTATTTATTGATCAGTTGTGTACCTTATTTGAAAAAGTCAACTCCTTTGCCCCTTTTTCAGTTGGGTTATTTGCCTTTTTACTGTTGAGTTATGAGGGTTCTTTATACATTCTGATGCATCCCTTATCAGATACATATGGGATTTATGGTTATTTCTCCCTTGTGCGTTATCTTTTCTCCCTTCTTCCTCTCTTTCCTCCTCCTGACACAAGGCTGGCCTTTTTCTCTGTTCGAACTTGGCATTCTTGGACAGAGTGATAGACACCAAACAAAAAGTTGCAGGTATTAGCATTTCAAAAGAACTATAGGGGGACAGAAGATAAATAATAAGAGGCGGCAGTGTAACCTGGAACATCTCCCCACACAGACATCAAGAAAATGACAGCTATTCTTAATTCTAAAGAATAAATGAAGGCCCGGGATTTAGCTCAGTAGCACTAGCACGCACTTGCCTGGCAAGCATGAGGTCATGAGTTTGATCTCTAGAAAAAAAAAAAAGAATAAATGGGATAAAATATTCAGGTATAGTCCTCATAGGAAAGTGAAGCATTAGGCCCAGATTGTGAAAGCAGGTGCTGATGCTAAATTTGTAATTTTTTTTTATTTTAAAGAGAGTAAAACAAAGAACAAAGCAGATCAGAACAACAATGCAAGCAACACAGGACTTCAAAACAAGACAACAGGAAATCAACAATGGCTACCATAATGTCTCTCATTTTCTTCAAAATAGTTGTCCATACCTTTACACACAATAAAATCAAACAACAAAATAGAATAAAATCAGTCAAAACAAAAGAATGAAAGCATTACAGAACCTCAAAACAAGACAATAGAAAAGTGCCTTCTTTAATGTCTCTTGTTTTCTTCAAGATAGCTTTCCATACCTTCACACATAATAAAATCAAACAATAGAAAACAGACCAAAACCAATCAAAATGAGGGTAAAAGCATTACGGGACTTCAAAACAAGATAACAGGAAATGAATAATGGCTACAATAATATCTCCTGTTTTCTTCAAAATAGCCGTATTCATACATAATAAAATCAAAACACAACAGAATAAAACCAATCCAAACAAAAGAACAAAAGCATGATAGGACTTCAAAGCAAGATGATGGGAAATCAGCAGTGGCTACTATAATGTCTCATTTTCTTCAAAATAGCTGTTCATACCATCACACATTTTAAAGTCAAACGGGCTGGGGATTTAGCTCAGTGGCATAAGTGCCTGTCTTGTAAGCCTGTGGTCGTGAGTTCGATCCCTGGTACCAGTAAAAATACAAAATAAATAAATAAAGTCAAACAGAACAGAATAAAACCAATCTAAACAAAAGAATGTAAGCATTATAGGACTTCAAAATAGGAAACCAACCATGGTTATCATAATACATCCCATTATCTTCAAAATAGCTGCCCATATCATCAGACACAGTAAAATCTAACAAAACAAGACAGAACAAAAAACAAAATTATAAAAACAATACATGAGTTCAAGATAAGACAGTAAGATATTAACAGTGGTTACCATCATTCGGGAAGTTTTCTTTTAATTATTCTGTAAATAGCCTTTTTATTTCACTTGTGTTGACCCCTGCTGCTTTGCTGATACCTATCACTCAAATTATTTTTCTTTGCATCGTCTTTCAGCCATTGAATTGTTATTTCCTGGTTCCTTGTTACTTTTAAGAGATCTTTCCTTTCACAATCGCCAGCTGTGATCCTTTCTTCAAGATCTCAAAAGTCTTATTTTCAGTCTCTTTCAAGCAATTTTGCCAGCTTTTGATCGAGTTTTTAATTTCCTGGTTATCTCCTTGAATCTGTTTCATGCATTGTAATTCCATCCTGTATTGTGCATTCAAGGTTTCCATCATTTTCCTATGCTCCTCTTTTTTTTTTAAATCTGTGTCTTCTTGAGATATGTTCAGCAATTCTTTCATTATGCTTGTGATTTCTTCTTTTACCTGAGACATTACTTCTGATCTGATTACTTTTACAGTCTCATGAAGTTGTTTCCTTACGTTAGTTGCTATCCCCTTGCAGATTTCAGGTGTGTCACTTCCATTTGCTTTGACTGTATCTCCCAGACTTGTTCTGTGTAAGCTGGAGGTCTGATACTGCCTTTTGCTCCTTTGTCTTGACATTCTCCGTGGTTCCTCCCAACATGCTGATTGTGGGGTCCCAGGCACTTACCACGTTGGCTGCCCCTCCACCAGTGTAGAGGAATGGGACAGGCACCTGGGTTTCTCTGACTGCAGGTTTCCAGGGAGATAGCAGGACATGGGGCAAGCTGCTCAGCTCCATGCAGCTACACTGGGGCTTCCCCCAATGGTGGCAGGCACACAGGAGAAATTTATAATTTTAGAGTATGCTCCCCTTACATTTTCATTATGTAAATCTATAAAGTCAGCATTTCTTTCCATCTATAAACAGTATTTTTTTTTTTCAAAGACAGGATCTTGCTTCGTAGCTCAGGCTGCCCCTGAACTCCTATGTAGCTCAGGCTGGCCTCAAACTCACAGCAGTCTCCCTGCCTCAGCCTCGTGAGTGCTGGAATTGTAGATGTGTACCATCACACCCAATTTAACAGAACCAACAGCTCTTACCTCTGTAAAATAATTCACTGTGTTGCAGACTGGTTGCTGAGATCATCTGCAGAATAACATTTTATTTTATTTTATTTTTTCTGTTTTTTTAAATTTTAAAGAGAATAAAACCAAGCAAAATAAAACAATAAAGCCAGTCAAAACAGGACAATACAAGTGACACAGGGTTTCAAAGCAGGATAACAGGAAGTCAACAATGGCTACTTTAATGTCTCTTGTTGTCTTCAAAATAGCTGCCCAGGGCTGGGGATTTAGCTCAGCGGCATAAACGCCTGCCTGGCAAGCCCAAGATCATGAGTTCAGTCTCCAGTACTAAAAAAAAAAAGAGTGGAGGATTTCACTACAAAACTAACAAAATAGCTGCCCATACCATCAGACACAGCAAAATCAAACAAAACAGAAACAGAATAGAACCAATAAAAACAAAACAATTAATATTCTATTAACAATTAATATTCAATTAATATTCTATTATTGGTTCTATTCTAACAGAATAGAACCAATAAAAACAAAACAAAACAATTAATGCAATACAGGACTTCAAGAAAATAGTAAATCCAAGATGGCTACCATAATATAGTTTGTTATTTTTGAAATAGCTGCCCATGCCATCGGATACAATAAAATTAAACAAGGTAAAACAGAATAAAACCCAACCAAACAAATAATAAGTGATACAGGGTTTTGAAACAAGATAATAGAGAATTAACAATGGCCACCACCTTCAGAAGGAGATCCCCAATAGATGCCACCCTGTGGACCAATATTCTCTGGATAGATGACCAGACTACTGGCTTCAGGCCTGCAAAGCCAGGGAAATACTACAAGCATTAAGCCGTATTTTACCTCATTTGCTATCGTCACGGCCTGTGTTTCTCTGGATTAGCCAGTCACTTACAGGAGGAGGGGACATGTTGGCTCTTCTTGTCTCCTAGAGTAACATCTTAATAAGGAGCAATTATTTTGAACCTTAAGCATGGAGGATGGGGGAAGATCTCAGTGGAACCTTTAGATACAGGGATTAGTGCTTCAGGCTAAAGCCTCTGGGCCCCTGGAAGATTAAAAAGGAACCCTAGTGACTGGAAGTCACTCCAGAA